ACCAACTGGTTAAGGAGCAGCTCTGCAGAAAAGAACCTCGGGTTATAGTGGACAATAATCTAAATGAGTCAACAGTGTGCTCTTGATGCCAAGAAGGCTAATAGGCTGCATTAGTAGGAGTGTTGCCAGCAGATCAAAGGAAGTAATTATTCCCCTCTATTCATCACTGGTGAGGCCACATCTGAAGTACTTTTTCAGTTTTGGGACCCCCATTACAGAAATGATGTGGACAGATTGGAGAAAGTCCAGCTGAGGGCAACAAAAATGGTTAGGGGGCTGGGGCACAAGACTTCTGAAGTGAGGCTGAGGGAACTAAGCTTATTTAGTCTGCAGAAGAGGAGACTAATGGGAAATCTGATGGCATCTGTAGCCCAAGTAACTTGAGTATATACTCTCCTTCTCCAATTGAAGGGGATTGTTAGCTGGCAGGTAACTGCAGACCGCTCGGTTTCCCTCCGTCCCTATAGAACCAGGCCAGGACAGTCGGGGGACTTAACTATATACACATTTATTTATACTGACTTATCACAAGGGAAAGGAACATGGATACAAACATATGTACAATGTATGTATATATTTATAAGATATCTAAACCAGTAACATAAACAATACCCTTTGGGTAAATGACATAAAACCTTATACCAGTGCTCCAGGTACAGGTAAGTCACAGGTAAGTATCTGATCTGAAACAGGTAAACCCCAAAGTTAAATTCAATCCTGAGGGGAAACCCCAATGCCCTTAGGCTTTTCCCATGCCCTACAAAGAAGTTGGTAACTTTACGGGGGGCCCTCTCAGTGGGACCTCCCCTTTCAGGAGCCCTTAACTAACCGGGGGGGGGACTCCCCTCCCCTGTGGGAATCTTCTTTTCCCTGCAACTCATGGCTCCCAGGCCTGGAGGGTGGTCCTCGTCCTCTGTACCAGGCTGCTCTGTCGCCTGCAGTGGGCTTCAGGGGGGTTGCTGTCCCCTGAACAGGGTTACACTATGCAGGGCTTCTGGGGCCTCTGGCCTGGCCCTGTTGGCTGGCTCAGTAGCCTGATCACCATCTGGCTCTCTGGACTCAACCTTTTGCTATGGGTCAGAGGCCTGGGCTGCCTCATGTAGCACCAGGCTCGGTCTGTTCCTGGACCCTCTGTGCAGTGCCTCCTGCACTGAGCTCCCGGCCTCATTCCGGGGCTTGAGGATCTGAGCTGCCCAAGTCCTCCAAGGGTCCTACTCCATGCACCGTCCTGTGCACTGTGTCTCTGGCCACACGCCAGAGTTTGCAGACCTGAGCCACCTCACACAGCTCCCAGGATCTGGACGCCATGTGCCATGCTGCACATCGAGAGTCTAACTGCTGGAGCCATCCACCATTCCCTGCTGATGGAAGTCTTCAGGGGCACTTCTAGGCTACTGCTTTACCCTGCTGAGCAGCTCTCCTCAGTTCTCCTATGCCCCGCTCTTCTCTCTTCTCACTCCCGGATGTGCTTCCCTCATGCTGGGCATGCAGCCCCTTTTATATGCTCCTGGGCTCCTCCCCTGAAGTCTTCCAGACCTGAGTGTTGCAGTCTTCAATCAGGCCTTGGTGGGGGGAACTCCTCTTCCCCTCCCCTCAGGAAAGGGGTGTGACTTAACTCCCCTTGCTGCTTCCTGATTGATGAGCTCTACCAATCAAAACAGCAAGATTTTAAGCCTGGGACTCAACCCAAGCTCCAAAAGGCAAGCCTTCTACACATCCTTTAACTACCTGAAGAGAGGTTCCAAGAGGATGGAGCTAGACTGTTTTCAGTGGTGGCAGATGACAGAACAAGGAACAATGTCTCAATGTACAGCAAGGGAAGTTTAGGTTGGATACTAGAAAAAACTTTCACTAGGAGGGTGATGAAGCACTGGAGCAGGTTACCCAGAGAGGTGGTGGAATATCAATCCTTGGAGGTTTTTAAGGCCTGGCTCAAAAACCCTAGCTGGAATGATCCAGTTGGGGATGGTCTTGCTTTGAGCAGGGCTTGGACTAGATGACCTCCTGAGGTCCTTTCCAACTGTAGTTTTCAATGATTATATACGGATGATACCTGCATATGGATGATATCTATGATAACTTTGCTGATGTCTTGACCCAATTCTGTTGCGAGTGACCTCAGTGGGAGCAGAATCAAGCTCAGTCATACTGTGCAGAAAGGGTTGGGAGCAATCATGCAGAGCCATTCCCTCTTGCCAATGCTTTTGAGCTTTTGAGAATGTTATGGAGACACTGGCACTGGAAAAAACTTGAGAAAACATTAAACAAATTTGTGGCAGTGGGAGACCATGCTCACCTGTCCTGGGGTTCACTCACTCCACACATTTCCTAAGGGTAATGGGTAAGCAGCTCTAGACCCAAGGCCATGTCTCCAAAAGGAGACTCCAGTCACTTCCCAGACAGTGGAAGTCCAAGGCCACACATCTCCAAAGGTGGCTTTACCTTGCAGTGCACTGTCATCTGCTTATTACCTTTTCATGCACATTCTGTGGTCACAATATAACTCTTTAAAAGGTTTAGAGTTTACAGTCCTCCTCCTTTCACAAATCCTATCACATTGCCTGCTGTGATAACTTTATTTCTGGTTATAAGATAACTAGCATAAAGAGTAAAGTCACTGACAGCATAAGGACTGCAGGGGGGAGACACAACACAGAGAAAGACTAAGACAAGAATTACCATATGGCTTTGTATGCTACCCCTTGCTCCCTGGGAATTCCCAGAACACTGGTAGCTAGGCTTATGTTTGTAAATACCCATCTATACTTACACAGCTGGAGACTACTTAAGCTCTTCTAGGTTCCAAGCAATAGTTTGGAGAAAGAGAAGCAAACATGTCTTAGAACGCTAAGATGTGGGGAGAAGTGAGCATGCTAGAAGGGAGGAATAGGCTGCAATCAGACCTGGACACGTTACAGGGATGGGCAGATGAGAACAGGATGGGTTTCAACACTGACAAGTGCAAGGTGCTGCACCTGGGAAGGCAGAACCAGCAGCATACCTACAGGCTGGGGAACTCCCTTCTCGTCAGTGCAGAGGCAGAAAAGGATCTTGGAGTCATTATTGATTCCAAGATGAACATGGGCCAACAGTGTGGGGAAGTGGTCAGGAAGGCCAACTGTACCTTGTCATGCATCCACAGATGCATCTCAAGTAGGTTCAAGGAGGCGATCCTCCCCCTCTATGCGACACTAGTCAGGCCGCAGTTGGAGTACTGCGTCCAGTTCTGGGCGCCGCACTTCAGGAGGGATGTGGACAACATGGAGAGGGTCCAGAGGAGGGCCACCCACATGATCAGGAGTCAGCAGGGCAGACCCTACGAGGAGAGGCTAAGGGACCTGGACCTGTTCAGCCTCCACAAGAGAAGACTAAGGGGGATCTAGCGGCCATTTACAAACTGGTCAGGGGGGACCAGCAGGCATTGGGGGAGTCCCTGTTCCCCCGAGTGCTACCAGGAGTGACAAGAACTAATGGTCACAAGCTGGCAGAGGGTAGATTTAGGCTAGATATCAGGAGGCGCTACTTCACTGTCAGGGCAGCTAGGATCTGGAACCAACTTCCAAGAGAAGTGGTGCTGGCTCCTATCCTGGGGGTCTTTAAGAGGAGGCTGGATGAACACCTCGCCAGGGTCATTTGACCCCAGTACTCTTTCCTGCCCAGGCAGGGGGTCGGTCTTGATGATCTGCTCAGGTCCCTTCCAACCCTACCAACTATGAAACACATATTCCCACTGGTAAAGCCCTCTCCAAGACTGTGGATTCAGAATAGCACTTGATACTTTTGAGCTTTGAACTCCAATTTCTTCTAGCAGAACACAAGTTCTTGGCAGCTGTGTGCAAAGATTACTCTTTATACAGAATTAGTAACATATCAGCAAACAGAACCTTGGTCTCAAGATTTTACAGGTCCCTTTAGACATAGCACAGCCAGGATTGGCAGAAACAAAGGTATGGATCTGTGGGAAGAGAAAGGAAAGTATTGTGATTGCATATGTTGTTCTTGTCTATTTCTGTACTCGGTTCTGCTGCCAGAACTCCTGACAGCAGACAACACTTCTGGTGGCTCTAGTACAGCAGTGGTGACACCAGAGTACAACTTGCATTGTGGTGAGGCACCAGCTGCTGCACAGAATGCAACAGCAAGCCAAAGACACATCTCCAGGTGCCTGTTGGGAGGCAGCAGAACTCTACTGCACTTGCTGAGGAGGAGTCACTCTGCTGTCCAATGGGAAGTTTCTGCCACCACAGAGGGGCTGTGAGTGTACATGTACTCAGGGCTTTGCCAGCAACTCTGGAGTCCTACTGGCAAAACTTTGTAGTAGAGATGAGGCCTCCTACACATGCATAATGGACCATGTTTTGAAAGGAAGCTAGCGGCTTGAGAAGCTTAGAAGTTATGTGCCCATCTTGAGACACATAGGGCTCCAGTGTGAAATTAAGGACTTGGCACTTTGGAAAAATCAGACCTCAAGTATCCCAGGCTGGATACTCAGAAACTGGGGCATTCAGATTTGGCTATCCCTTCAGAAAAAAATGATAGTCCCAGTTTTTGATGACAGAAATTAAGGGTTACAAAGGCCCTGAATCAGGAGCAGTCCTTGTCACAGCATCACCCATTCCCACTTCACAGCTTCTGTTTCCTTATGTCTTCCTTTTATTTGTGGACTGTTTAGATTTGGTTTGGGAATATCCCTTGGCCTGGATCACTGCCATTTCTGCAAAGTCCCAGCTCAGATTAGATCTAAACTTCAAGTAAAACAGACTCACATTGTCCACTCATTGCCACTATCCCTGTCACTGCCAACCTGCAGTTGCTAAAACAGTACTGTCCACCACAGAAAGAATACATCTCCTTGTTAGCCAAGCAGATCTCCCCAGATTCTTCTCTGAGAAATGGGGACCCTATGGCTTGTGGGAGAAGGGAATAATCAGTAATGTTGTATGCAGGCTCCTCTCCTCAGCTTTGCTGCTTTTGGTAGCACTAATACTGTGACCTTGCAGGTATCACTACAGTGCTCACAATGACCACCTTGAGCACCATCTCCCGCAAGCACCTTCCTAGGGTCTCCTACATCACCGCCATGGACCTATTTGTTTCTGTGTGCTTCATTTTTGTCTTTGCTGCTCTCATGGAATATGCCACTCTCAACTACCTGGTGGGAAACAAGAAACCATCAGAGCACAACAGCAGGAAAACAAGAATGGTAGGTATGGGTAGTGGGGGACCTTTAACACCAAACCACCCCAATGTGAGAATGTTAGGAATAGAACTATTGTAGGTATTGACTTGAGACCAGCATTGTAGTGTATGTGTATGTCCAGCTGCTGTGGCAGGTGGCTACAGAACACTGGAGTGTATGCTGCAGCTGATGGTGGGATTATGATTCTGGAAACAGGGATAGGCAAAGTGACTGACACCTGCGTCTCATAGTTTGTGACAGTGGAAGAAACAGAACTCCAGGAACTATTAGTGTCAGGGAAGCAGACAGTGCCATGCAGGGCAATGAGGCAATATAGCACTGAGCCTCAGAGATCAGGGACATCCAGGGATTGGCAATGCCCTTCGGGGTTGATGAGTTGTTGCCTGTGGAGGTATTAAATTTGGTACTTCACACCTTGTGTTGGGGTTTTCCCAGGTTCACAGAGGAGGCAACTGACATGCCAAACCCAACATGGGGTTCTGCTCTGACAAGTTCTTAATTGTCAAAGGAATGAAAACCTGAAATCTTGATCTCTCCTATATAAACAATTTTCTAACAGTGATGGAGAGGAGCAGTGTGCCTGACAGAGATGCACTTCATTCCCTGGTCACCAATCACAGCACTGCCCATGCTTTTCTTCCTTTGGCTGATGTTAGAGTGTGACAGCAATCAGAGAGCATGTCTGAGCTGTGTCCTGTGTTTCTAGAGAGCAGCTAGGCTCAGTGAGATGGTGCCAGGTTAGGGAAGCTGAGAAAAAGCAGCTAGGCTCAGTGAGATGGTGCCAGGTTACTGAAGCTGAGAAAACCCAGCCACTGGTTGGTACATAGAAAGCTAAAGAAAGAGATGGGAGGATATTGCTCTCAGCTATTCTCTGTCCAAAGCTGTGCCATGGATATTCCAGGAAACTGAATTACAATCATATAGAGTAAACAGGGATTAGATATCTCTGGTATTCTCCATCAAAACCGTGCCTAGGCTATGCCTGGGCAAATGAAGTATCATCTCCTTTGCTTTATTTCTAACCTATTTCCCTCTTTATGCCAGCCACCTACCAGTGCCCATGTGAAGCCCTCTTTCACCACCATCAACATCAACAACAACATGCACTGGCCTCCTGAGATAGAGGAGGATGAGGATGAAGAGTCTGGCTCCCCTTGCCTGGAAGGGAAGGAATGTGAGAGTTTTTTCTGTTGCATTGAGGACTGCCAGACAGGGACATGGAGGGAAGGCCGGATTCGCATTCACATCTCTCGCCTGGACTCCTACTCCCGGGTATTCTTCCCCACTGCATTCCTGCTCTTCAACATTGTGTACTGGATCGCCTATCTCTATCTCTAGCTATTACTTGTATGCTGCTGAAGTAAAGGAGATGCCAGGAAGCTTTGCAAGAAAGGAACAAGGAAAATGGTGTTTTTCATTTTAGTCGGTAATTCTTTTTAATACTTGTCCACTTTCCCTTTTCCTTACCTCTTTTGAGGAGAACCAGTCAAAAAAAATTTACCCAAACAATTTCAACAACAAAAAATTCCAAGTTTTATCTAAAATAATAAGGACTTGTTAAAAACAGACCCCAGAACATCTTGTATTTTTTTTTCATTAAAAAGTCTCTGGTAAATCTTGCCAAAAGTAATTTTCCTTCATATTTTCACAGAAAATAAATATATTTCTCAATTGTTTCTATTTCTGAGCCAGCTTTCACCAGCATAAACCTGGGTGGTGGACCACAAACATACAACCAGTTTGCGAGGGCTGGGGCAGAAAAGGTTTGGCGAGAGAAAATGGCTGCCAACATGTGCTGGTGTTAGCCTGAAAGTTTGCATTGCCAAAGGCAGAGGATATGTTTTCCCCAGAGCAGTCTCTACCAGCAGGTTTGTGTGGGGCTCTTACCATAGACTGCAGTTGTATCTTGATGTAGTAAGTAATATCAAAGGAAGATAATGTGGACTTTCATCCTGACATTTGTCAGCCCATGAAAAAATGTATTTATAAAGTTGTAAATAAAACTTGAGGGGACCTAGCTACTCTACAAATATAGTCTTATCAAGGGACTCATTACACCACATTAGTGTAATGTGGATAGCATCCCACTGAGTCAAAACCCTTAGACATGCTTAAACAGTTGAGGTCCCTACACTATGAAAATGACCAAAAGAGCATCAGATTAGGAGCAGCTGTTGTATGTATGCCCCCTGACTGGCATACTTGTAGCATACATGGCCTTGCAGCTGAAACCTGGATTTCTTTGTGTTATATTTTAGTGGGAGAAATTACAGCCTTTTGCTACCATCCTGAATCAGTTGGTAGCACCTTCCAGCGCTAATAATCTAACTGAGCTCAGCGGAAGCCTACAAGAAGTAAAGTTTTGCTTCCTCTGCAAAAAAAATGACAGAAGTGGGCTCTAGTGAGTTTTGAAAGAACAAGCTCTCAAGGACTTTTCTGGGCCTCTCATGGGTACAGGGGATAGATATTCTTGGGCTTTTTAATATTTTGAATTCCAAAAGAACATTGAAACTTTAAGGAGGTTTAGAAAAGACTCAATAAAGCTATGGCTCTGCCCTCTGCTCCACCATTTTCCACACTTCTTCTGGTACCTTGCTATAGAAGAGATAAGCAAATAAATAGCACCCCAGATGTTAGGTCTGATATCCTTGGTAACCCTTAGCCACTTCATACAAATGGAAGTGTTTCCCTTTTCTGGCCCTCTCCCACACCTGTGTGAACACATACATTAAGGAGGAACACAACTTAAGCTCAGAAAGAAATATGCAGTTGTGTAGCTAAGCAGGAAGATGCTGCATATGTGAAAGAAAAGCATGGAGTTCAAACTCTTACCTAGAGTAAATCATCACCCCCCACCCCCAGTTTGAGTTAACAGAACTGCACCTAGTAATATCAACTGAGTCTCTAAGCCACAGTGCTGTTGTTTGTTAAAAGAGACTTCTGTTAATATTTACTTACTGTGTAAATTAACTATAAATCTTTTATAAAGAGCATGTTTTAGAAATAATTGTCACTTGAAAGGTTTGTCAATAGGAGAGAGACAGCACAACTGCAACAAAGGAAGAGGGGAATAGCTAATCAGGCTGTGTGGTTTATATATTCTTTTAAAGAGTAAATCTGGTCTGGCTTAGAGCTGGGTTCTGACACTACTGAATATGATCTGAATAATGAAGAGTCATGTTTAATTCATTCATAAATATAGCCTTACCTGAATTCCAAGGGAACTGATAAGGAACCTAATTAGGGATACAATAGTACAACATTGGGATAAGTATAAACTAATAAGGTCAAATCACTATGGCATTTAGAAGGTTAAATTGTTCCTGTCCAACCGGTTAGAGTTGTTTTTAAACAGTGAATAAATCAAGAGATAAAGGTTACCTGGCAGATATAATATACTTGGATTTTCCAAAAGCTTTTGAAAAGATGGAAGAAAATAATTTATCAGGGGTGCTAATTAAGGAAGTTAATTAAGAAGGAGAATTATTATAGACGTACTAATTAAAGAAAAAAACAGGTAGGGGGGGTTCTACAAAACGGATACAAACAACTTCCAGGCAACAAGGTTTATTAGGCGATGGGACTGTCTCCCAATCAGACAGAATGAAGACTTGCTTGAGATAGTAAAGCTCTAATAAACATAGCAATAGAAACATATTGTGTGAATCAACCCTGCTCTCATAGAAGGACAGACTAGACAGGTATCGTTCCATCACTAGCATCTGTGGCGTCCTGATAGGTAGCCTAAAGGAAAATTGTGATTGCCATTGCTTAAGTGACAGAGTCATAGTGAAAGCCTTCTTACATTAGATAGAAGTCAGTCTGGGGTCACCATGAATTTGTATTTGGACCAGTGATACTTAATATTCTCATTAAGGGTTTGGTAGAGCAAAAAGGCAGCAGGCGGTGAAGTATGTCTGTGATAGTGAGTTCCTTTTGGTTTTCGTCACTATAAACTACAGGGAAACTCAAAAGTGCTTAAAATACAATTAAATGGAAAGGTATTATATGCCATTAAAGACGGTCCAAAAATATCCCAAGACACTAATGGGCTCCAAATATGCAGGATCTTCAAGGGATTTACAAGTTCATCATACACACTGTACTGAAGATGACTGCCCAGAGAGCAGCAGCATGGAGCAAATTAGATTAGAAGGAAAAAGAGGGAGAAACTGAAAAGGTTAAGAAGAAGGTCAAAGAAGATGATAAGGACTAGGTCTGAGTAGGACTTGGTTTGATGAGAGAGTTAGAAGGCAAAATGTAAAATTACAATAGCAAAATGTAAAATTACAATGACTGAAGAATAAAAGAGAAAAGGTATTTTCCAGGAGGGATTTCCTCTGCCTTCAATAAACTGCCCATCCCAAATATTTCCTCATATAAATGAATGCCTGAATTAAATACTATTTTGCATTTCTAAGGCACTTTCTTCCCACCATTTTCAAAAAAGCCAGCCAAGAAGGGCAAGGGTCACTATTCCCATTTCACTGACAGGGAGAAGAATTCTCTCTTATTTATAGTTCACTTTCATTCTAGACAAGTCAAAATGTCAGACATCATTACGGATATCTTGGCCTGTATCAGCACCTCAGATTTGGTCTCATGTACACGGATCTGCTTTTGGTCTTAACACAGAATGGTTGCTGGGATTTTTTAAATCCCAACATGTTTTCATTACTGATTTCTCCAGGATAAATCACCCAACCATTCCTGGCAAATGTCTGTACTGGGAACTATGGCTCCAGAATTTATGTGCTAATATTTTATGTTCGAAAAATATTTGTTTGCCACTATTACTCCGATCATCTCCCCCAGAGATATAATGGCACCATTCTAGATTGTAAGCTCTTCAGGGCAGGGGCTGTCTTTTACTATGTGTTTGTATAGCACCTAGCACAATGAGGTCCTGATCCTGATTGGGGTTTCTGAGTGCTACTGTAAAATAAAACAATAGTAATAGTGAATCAAAATGCAAAATGTTTCAAATCAACATTCTTAAAGTAAGTGGTCGTTTTTTTTCCATTTCAAAATGAAAAAATCTAATTTGATCAAGTTGACTCATTTCCTTTCGGGTGAAAAAAGTTGACATGTTCCTTCAGAGATCATGAAGCCTGCCAAGTTTCAAGAAGATCAGTTAAGGGATTTGGGGAGAACTGCACCTCAAATTCTTGAAAGCAAAACTCATGTCACATGTATGTGTGACACCACATGGGGGTGAAAACTGCAGGGGTGATTACCCCTGCTGAGGCCACGAAGCCTGCCAGCTGTCAAGGAGATAGGTTCAGGGGTTTGGAGTGAACTACACCTCCAGCTGCTGACAGGCAAAACTTGTGACATAAATGAACCTGTGTGTGTTAAGGTGCAGTGGGCTGAAAACTGCAGGGGGGTGGCCCCTGCTGAGGTCACGAAGCCTGCCTGGTTTCAAGGAGATAAGTGCAGGCTCTTCTTGAAACTTGCCAGGCTTCATGCTCTCAGCAGAGGCCACCACCCCTGCAAGCTTCATCCAAATCAGACAAAACGCAACAAAGTTATAGATATTTCACTGATTCCCCATTATACCCTATGGCTGGATCTCCAAAGCGGCTCTGAAGGTTCGGAGCCGCTTCAGCCGAATCAAAGTGAGAAACCAATCCAAAGCTCTGGATCGGATCACTGGCACTCAAAGCAGCTAGATCCAAAACCAAATCGAATAGCTGCCTATTCGCTCAGGCCTATTGAACAGTGCCACAAGCAAGGGCGGGGTGAGCAGGGCGACCGCCCTGGGTGCCAAAGCAGAGGGGTGCCAATAGGCATTGCCCAGCCAGGGCAGGATGCAGGGCAGAGCTGCAAGCTCCTCGCTTGGTGGGGTGCAAGACAGAGGGAAGGCAGTTCTCACTACTGCATGTACGGCAAGCATGGTGGGGCGTGTGCCCCCTGGATCCGTGAGTAGGGTGAGGGTGGGCTGCCACTGAAGGCTTTGCTCTGGGTGCCAATCTTCCTTGCCACGGCACTGGGGTTAAACCATAAAAACATTGTTTTTTTAAGGGGGTTTTGCCTTCAAGTGCTTGGGGTGGAATCATTGTTTTCATTTGAAGTGCAGTTCTATTGAAGCCAATGACTTTATAAAAGGGATGGGATAATGGGGGTGATTTCAAATCAGATTTGCCTGAAAAGAGGGCTTCTCTAAGCACCTCACTTACACACTAAAGCCTGAGAATCAGCCAGGATTCTCTCTCATACACCCATCCCTGGCAATGAAGATGCCACCATTAAAATTTACTTACAATTTCTGTTGACAGTACAGAAACTGAAATAGACCCTAGCTCATGCTCCTTCAGCTATGCTGTTTCTGCAAAGTTAGTGCAGTGAAACTTAGTCCTTCTGTTTAGCAAACAGAACTCTGACTATTCAAAGAGAATAGATCTGTTGAGAAAGAAGGAGCTGTTTTTACAGACATTGTTCAAAGGTTTACTACATTTTAATGTCTCAGAGAAGGCACTGAAGATGAATCTGATGCAAATGCAAAAGGATCCCAAAGTGATATAGAATTAAATACCTGCAGCCTCCACTGTAGTAGGTATGGTTAAAGTGAAGAATGTATCTGTTGAGTTTGCAACATGGGGTCATTTCTCTTGGTATTTGCT